TTGTAAATATTAAGAAAAAAATTAAAAATAAATAAAAATTGTCCAATCAGATGACCTACATGCTGAATACTTGACTTAAATAAATATGCCAGATTGCATATGCATAAATGTGTGTGCATAAAATTTTGTGTATAATTATTGATTCTAGCATATAAATAATGGAAAAACAAACATGATAATGTCACCTGAGGCAGTTTTATGGCAGCTTAAGTGATATAAGCAAATGGTGTGTTTCCTGTTTACATAGACAAATGGAGTTGCCGCAAAAAATGTATAAAATTACCATCTAATTTAGAGGGATCTTTTATGTTAACAAAAGGAGTGATATGAAGTGACCCAGTTTTCTCATCCCGAGTCACCAAGTGCTTAGAAAAACATCAAAGGGAAATCAAGAGAAAGTGGAATTGAAATAGGTATCACAACCACAGATTAAGTATGTAAAATACCTGCAGGGAGGGACACAACTTAATAAACATCTTACTTTTAAAAAGAGTCCGGTAGGCAGGTAAGATTAAAAGTTAATAAAAAAAGGCCTGTTCATACTTTGAAACTTAAAAAAAAGACAGTGGGAGTTTATGGAATAATGCCTGGAATTTAGAATGTACACATTTGATGAGATTGTAAGTATTAAGCTTTTTTTATTAAAGACTGACACTTTGATGTTACGTTTTTTGTTGCTTTACCTTTACATTACGATTGTCTCCTTTTTTTTCTTCTCGAGGTTTTGTCAATCATAATGTAGCCCTGAATTGAAGTACTGTATATCCTGATATATTGTCAATGTCTTACTTAAGGCTGCCATATTATGCATCTATGTATGGAGGTATTTGCATAGACTTGCTTAACAGTTTTTGAACAAAAGGCTGGAACTTTTGGTTGACAAATGAAAAGTTCTGAAGGGTCAGAAATGTTTCTAAACCACTRCCTTTTCAGCTGTTGTACTTCTTTATCAGCTTGAGATTAAACAGCTGTACAGTATGTACAGTATGTATCATATTCTAAGAAAGTAATCATTGAATGTACATTTACGGCCAAGACTCTGGCACTTAAAATAGAGTCTCTTAGAATCCCCATTTCACCAAACATTTGATTTAACCATTTTTGACTTTCAATGGAAACCAGAGAGCACAAAAATAAAATAAAAGTAAAATAAATAAATAAAATAAAATTGCATGCACGAGGAAAACATGCAAGCTCCACAGTCTTAACTTAGGATAATTCTGTAAACTACATTAGACTTTACTACATATATTTGAGTTGCAGAAGACACCCTGGTTACATTCACCTGCTATGTAAGGTTAGAGTAACACTAATTGTTTCATGCTCTAATAAAAAAAGATGTTTATAGAAAAATGTTATGTTTAATATCCGGTCCTGAAGTAAAAAAAAATCAATTCACCTCGTGCAGAGAGATCTAATAGTGTTACAGTGTGTTCTATCATTTAGGATTCATTTTTCATAAAGATAAAAGGAGATGATGTCCTCACTGATGGTTTATGAATCTGTAAGCTCACTAAATGAGAAGAATAGAATCTGTTCTACTGAGATGTATACACCTCCAGCGTACTCAAAGACTGTTTTCTTTTTAAAATACTTTATTTAATTATGAACATGTAACTATTTTAATTGTGCATCACTTCCTGCCAGTACTCCACACACAGACATTGTTCTCGTGTCTTGTTTTTCGTTGACTCATCTGATACAAAATCCTTGGAAGTTTGTGTGTGTGTGTGTGTGTGTGTGTGTGTCTGTCTGTGTATGTGTGTGTGTGTGTGTGTGTGTGTGTGTGTGCGTGCGTGTGTGTGTGTGTGGTAAACTGCTCTCATCTCAAGTTTCTGCTCATTATCTAAGCAGGTTCAAGGAGATTGGCACTGATTTGCATAGACAGCTTTATTGCCAGAGACTCTGCAGTCAGGATGTTAATACCAGCTCATACAGTGGTATTTCGCAAGGGTTAGATTAAAAACAGTCAATCAGAAAAATTGAGATCGGTGATGACTTGTAGAATGTCAGTTTTTTTTCTTTTTTGTAGCACGGTGTAGTGGTTTTTGCCAATCATTGCACCAGTGAAAGTAAAGCCACTCATTTTAAAACAAGTTGTAAAATTCTGATTCTGACTTCTACATGTTTTGTTGAGGCAAAACAGTGTCAGCATTAAAAGTTTGCTAATGCATGCTTTCCAATATATAATTTATAGCACACGAGACAAAAAAAAAAAAAAATTAAATTTTGGTTTTAAATAATAAAAAAGAAAACTATATATTCAAATGGAATTGTGGAATATCCGTCCTGGTTTCACAGTGCTATAGAGCAGCTCACAAACTGTGGCAGTTCTGCCAGAAATCAACCTTCACAAGAAGAATCTCTCATAATTGCATCACGAAACATCTTGCATCACCTCTCCATTCAGGAGTATCTACGGATTGTTTCGTCTGACATAACATCCTCACGGCCGACTATTGCCGGGGAATGAATCAACGGTGAATTTAATGCTGAGCTATTCTGGTAATTTCTTCCTATTTTTGTCTCTCTCTAAAATATTAATCTGTCACTTTGACACCGATCATAACTGCGACTAAGCTGAGTAACTCACCCTTGGCATTTTCTGGCTGTCCTATGATGATTCATCAGATACCTCACTCTTCTGCGATCCCTTGTGAACTACTTAAAAGCATGGAGCAAAATTATGCAGAGACTAATGTCCTCTTTAGAGAAAATACGGTGCAATATTTATAAACTTTCTCCACACACCACTAGAAAGTGCGAAAGTAGACACTTCCATGTGGATCTTAATGCAGCTTTAATGGACTCACATGGGAGGRCATATATTCATATTAATGTATTTAAAAAACAGTGTTATTTCAGCAGACATTTTACATCTCACTTTTAACTTCTCCAAGAATGATTATTGCTCCTGTGCTAACCCTGCTGCACTTTGGCAGTGATCAAATTTTAAAACTGGAGAAGTATTACCAGGGCATTTAAATGTTATATTGAAATAAATWTTGTATTTTTTTCAGCTGCTTCTTGGTTTCTTCAGCTGGTATAATGCTTCTGTAGCAGTAAAACTGATTATCAWAACTTTAATTTTTACGGTTTAAGGYTGGCCTCTCTTCTCATTTCAAGTATTTGGTTAGACATTGGTTCTTAAAACGTGCTTTTTATTTTTTACCACACTTGAATGTTTAAGTAAGACTGAGGTTCTGCCTCAAMTGGAGTATTTCAAGTGCCTAGGGTTCTGTTGACAAGTGAGGGAGGAATGGAGAGTCAGATTGACAGAAGGATTGGTGCAGCTTCTGCAGTTTTGCGSTCTCTGTACCGGTCTGTTGTGGTGAAGAGGGAGCTGAGCTGTAAGGCAGTACTCTCTGGTTACTGGCCACGGATTTTGGGTAGTGACTGAAAGAATAAAACCACAGATACAAGCAGTCAAAATTAGTCTCTTCTGCAGGGTAGCTGGACTYTCACTTAGAGAACGASTGAAAGTTCAAGTTATCCAGGAKARTGWAGAGCCGCTGCTCCTCCACATCAAGAGGAGCCAAGTTGAGGTGGTTTGGGCATCTGGTARGGATGCCTCCTGTAGGGAGGTGCTTCAGGCTGGGTGAAGACCCAGRGRAAGACACAGGACATRCTGAAGAGACTTTCTCTTGACTGGCCTTGRAGCACATTGCAATCCTTCCAGAAGAGGTGAGGTGGATTGGGATGGAGAAGTCTGAGCCTCCCTGCTCAAGCTGCTGCCCCAKCGACTTGACTSTTTATAAATGAAAGATGAATGGATGGAAGGATGTTTGAGTTTACATGTTTAATACAATACTTTGTTTTTCTGTATGAGATTTCTCTGAAACAAGAAGACCTTTGGTGGTTGTGATTARGACTCAGGGACCACTGCATCTGAGTGTGAATTTAATCATTTAGACAATGGTCAGGGATTTTCACAGTGATCACATCTGTCTTTTCCAACCACAGCAAAAAACAAGTACCCATTTTTTAACATTTATGTTTTACATATCAAGGCATAATTTAGACAAAAAWAACTTGTATTTTGTAAAACCATATTTATCTGCATAATGAACTCAGCAATTTATTAAACTGACTCACTTTCCATTTATCTGTCTCATTCTTTTGTCCAATTTATAACCGTTTCTTTTGAATCATTATCTGGCTGCATGACCTAATTTGGTTCCAGTTGCTGTTGTCTGACAAACAGTCGTACATTTATTTTCAGACTAGTTTAAAATATATTGGAGTTCATGACTACAGTAACTCAACAACTGCAGGCGACCTTGGTTGCAAAACAATCCCAAATYATCAGCTCTCCGCCTCCGTGCTTTACTGCTGGTATGATGTGTTTATAGTGCTGGACCATGTTTTATGTATTATGTTTAGTTGCAGACATAAGACCATTAAAGCAAAGTGGTTTAGTCATCACTTTGCTTCAATACGTTTAACAAACGTTCAAAAAGTCTTTTATTGTTCAGAGAAAACTGACCTTATCCTTGCTTCGCTGTTCCAGGTTTACTCCTGACGATATTTAAAATGTCTTTTCCTGATTTTACAGTCATGAAGTAACAATTTGACCACAGTGTGATTATGATGGATTATCCACTTTAGGAGGGATTGACAACAATTTTGAAATTTTCTTTGGTCATAATGAACTTCAAGTTACAACAAATTGATCTTTTCCAGATTTAGGTTTTACACTAGGGYTCACACTCACTGGTGTTTACTTGTTTCATGCATTTGATTAGCATGTTGCTGCTTTTTATTTATTTTTATTCTTATGGATATATGTTTTGAGTTTCAAGACTGGATTATAAATCAGAATGACCAAAATAATTTGTGGCACAACATTCTACTATAAATGCCTGCTTCTATTCAGGGAGGTCCTTGTCTTCTCACTCATGTGTGCCAAGATTTAAAATAAATTCAGAGAATCTGTCTGTTGGTGTTGTGAGATAATATCACGCATCTTATCGTCTGTTTTGTGTATTTCATTTGCATAGGAGCGAAAGCTGTCCGCCTTCCCAGTTATTGAGATCTACAGATCGGATGTCATCAACTACATGGTTCCACTGTCTCTCCAGACAGAATTCTTTGTGCCAGAAATGTTAGATGAAACCAAACCAGATGTAAAAGAAGAGGACTCCGATGAAGACAGAGGAACTGACATTACTGGTAAAGTTTAATACATTTCTCAAAAGTTTAGTCTGTAGAAAGTGAAAAAATCATCAGCAAAAAGCTTTAATGAACAAACTGAAAAATGTTTGACTTTATGAAATTTTCCAAAGAAATGGGTGAGTTTTTTTTAATGATGAGTAATTTAAAACAAACTGAACATCTTTGATTCTGCTGACCTCCAGTGGTCTAACTTTTTACAGGTGAACATTGCCCACCTTTTGGCAACACCCAAATATATCAATATAGTGAGAAAAATAAATTTGTCCTTAATTTTCATCTATAATATTGTCTAACTGCGTTACAGTGAAGCATATAAACAGAAACATTTCGCGCCTGCAACTTCGGTTTGAAGCAAAGATTTTTGTGATATTTTTTTAATTTTCTCTGACTCCCTTTCTGTCCCCGATCGCTGAGGACAAGCAATATATGAGTCCGTGTAATTGATCTGTCATTATAAGTATGTGTCTTGAAGTGCTGCCTCCATTACGCTGAGCTGGGAGGCTGGTGTCACAGCAGTATTGGCTCTGTCAGATCACAGGAGAAAGAAAACGATGTTGGGATGTTTGAAAAGGTGGTKGGAGGTGGACAGAAACCTAATGCGGCATCCTTTGTAAACAGTCTGTTAGTTTAAAAATAAAAGTTTAAGAAAGAAGTTTTTCTATGATCTGTAAATGTTCACATGTTGTGGCACATCCTCGAGACAAACGGCAGGGTTTTCTGCTGAAGAGCTGCTGACCTTTCTTCTGAACTGAGAGTGAAGGCTATTCACAACTTTAAATTAGTTTTGTCAGCGTCACTGTTCTGAGACAGAGCTTTGATTATTGCTGGCTTTTCTGGCAACTGAGAAAGGAAATAGGAGGAAAAGTGAAGTGTTGGGTAAACAAACTGTAATCCAGATAACAGTAGGTCTGCATATTGCACATTTTATAATCACAAGCTGAAAGTCATTTTGCAACGATGTTGTCAATCACACAACTTTCTCACACCACTATGCACGTGTCTATTTTTTCTGTTAGTTCATTTTCTTTTAAATGCAGAGTTTTCGACTTTGAGCACCATGAGTCAGTTCATTCAGCCCTAATATAACTAACAAAATTGTTGATWTGTTCTCATTACTGTGCAACTCACTCCACTCCAAAATGATCTGAAAGGGAAAATGGTCCTACAGAGCTGGGCAAAATATGTTTGATTTAGAGCAGGGATGGACAACTTAAGTGAAGGAAGGGGCCACAATTTTTGTTGGCACTACCAGAGACTCACATATTGCTGCACACTTAATTTAATGTAATAAAACTGCCATTTTAAAAATGTTTATGTACATTTAATAAGCCAACATACCATGCAGAAACATGTTTCATGCTCAAATGCATGTATAACAGTGGTACTCTAATTAAATATGAATACAAAAATGTTTAAAACTAACAAAAGATAAACACTTTAGTGAGCTGAAGTGCAATGGCTTGAGACGCCTTGAGCACAAACTCCTCTTTAATTATGGTTCTGATAAAAGTCATTTTATGTACTTGCGACTTTAGTAAACTTCTCATATTTAGCTTTGTGCAACATGATTTAGTGGAGACTTATTTAAATTAAAATCCTTAGTGGCAGACAGTGTCTCTAAGCAGACTAAACACATAGATTTGCCTTGAAATTCATTAAAAAAGTATACATATATATTATTTTTTACCTTAAAAAAATCACTCAAAACATCTCTTAGATTCTAAGAGCCGTCAGTTTTAGAGGAAAGTCTTTAGCTCACTCAAAGTCAGCTGTTGTCAGGTTTGTTTATTTTGCAATTATGCTTCATAGTTATAATCATAAAGATACCAACAGATAGTGGTATTATTATTTTTTTAATTAAATTTATTCATTTTCAGTTTAAAACAAAACAAACCTCAAAACAACAAAAAACAATTTACAAAGAAAATGAAAGGTGGCAGAAAGAAGAAAAAAATCTTATATCATCTGCCCCTTTTCAAACAAGGATAAAATAAAATACGTATGAATAAAAATACCATAAAACACTAATAATCATTAAATAAAAGAACAAACCAAAACCAATTTCGTGTCAAACAGATCCAATGAAAATATACTATGAAATTTCATATTTTCTCAGTGAACTAATTTTTACCTTTTTCTTAAACACAAATATAGACGAAGCATTTTTACAATTATTAWCAAGAACATTCCACAGTTTAATTCCTTGTACAGACRTGCAGCGTTCCTTCAAACTTGTTCAAATTTTAGGCTTTACAAACAATTCTAGTGCTTTGAGATTATAATTACTGACTCTCTTTATGAAGTGTAATTGAATATTCCAAGGTAAAACATTTGTATGAGCTCTAAACATTATTTGCAGAAATCCATAATCAACCAGTTCGTCAGTTCGTGTTATTATACATAAGACAAGGAGACAGTATTTTATACAGTAGCTGCTGTTGCGCTGTCAGGCCAGTGAAAATTGAGGTATTTTTTCTGCTCGTAGCCCAGGGCTCAAAGCTCCGAGCCAACATCATCTTCACTGGAGTGTTGCCTCAAAACTCACCCAGAATATCCAACATCACTGTAAATATCACTCAGCTGCTCTGAAACTGCTTCTGTCTCTTTCAAATTACGCACAAAGTGCTGGAGCAGTGAAGAAATACAAACCACTACCTACCAGGATGACAAAAATAATCCAGCTACACATATACAGCAGTATAATTGCCCATCACAGCAAACATAAAGGTGCACTCAGTCCTGTTCAAATGGCACGCTCCAGTTTGATCACTGGGAAGGTGCCCAAATTCTAAGTACAGCTGCAGTGTTCTCAAGACAACTAGCACATCTGGTCTGTTGCTTAAATGTTTTATTATCACGTATCAAAATAAAGTTGAGTTTTTGAGCAGCTGAATCTTGTTATTTAGCCTGTGGTTTACCCATCCCAATTCACAGAAAAATCTTACAGTTCACCTTGAGACCCCCTCAAATCAGAGTTAACCTTGTCCGGCCTAAGGAGATTTATCGAGCTGAACTGAGGAAGATTCGCTTAAGCCCTCGCAGTGACAGAAAACGATATTGGCAACATCTCTCTTGTCTGTTGTTCTTTGAGCCTGATGGTGTAACAACAGCTCTGGTCAGTGTAAACACACTATTAAGACTTGAATCTGCTCTGGGCTGTGCAGGTTGACATGAAGACGTATTAATGCAAGGTGAAAATGTTTCAGCACGAGTGGAGTGGGGGAAAAAGTTTTTGTATTAAAACACAAACACAAGGCGACTAAAGAAGTAAGACATTAAGCATGGGGACTCATTCATAGTCTTCACAAACGTTCCAGACACAATCGGGTCATCCAATCTGATGCTGACAAACAAGAAAAATGAATTTCAGATTGTAAAATTATTGAGTTTTGTGCAATTTTCAGAAAGCAATCGAACAAGTCAAAATCTTGTGCATTACACTGGAGCAATTTAATCAGATTTTTTAATGTAATTCTGTACATATAGATATACTGTGTGAGATGGATAGATATATTGTGTTTGGTTTCAGTAAAAAAAAAAACTATTTTAAGGGGCTACTTAAGAATGCATTAATATGTATCGCTGTGTGCCATTTTCCTGTGGCGCAGCATTAATCTCTGTTTCAGATCTACTCCACATATACAGTTTAATGAGTTTAGGGTTCAAGAGGTTTTGTCAGACATAGGGACTCATTTGAGCAAAATGTAATTTGTGTGTGTGTGTGTGTGTGTGTGTGTGTGTGTGTGTGTGTGTGTGTGNGTGTGTGTGTGTGTGTGTGTGTGTGTGTGTGTGTGTGTGTGTGTGTTTGCGCTTTCCCAGTCTCAGACACAGCTGAGCTTTTTTAATGAGAGCCAGATCAATCAGGGGAGCTAAGCTWTGTCTGACAACCCAGCTGTGGAAATCCCTCTTTTACCACCTGGGAGACTGCTTTCTGTTATCCAGTAGTCACATTATAGACATTTCTGCTCCCAGATTCTGACTGTGTTTTAATAATGGTCCTGCTTTGACCAGAGAGAGAAAATGAGAACACGCACACAAAGATTTCTGACAATCAAACTTTCACTCAATGTTTGCAAATTGTAAATTCGAGCAACAATGATGAGATTTAATCACTGCACACTAGATGCTATGAGGACTTTCAACTCAGTTAATTCATTTTCCTCCAGTTCACAAAAAGTTATCTTAATTAAGGCACTTTGCTGAAAAGTAACAAATGAAATCATAAATCCACTTACAGTCTATTCAATTCAATTATTATACAATAAATAGAAGAAAAAAGTAAAAAAGGGTTGAAATGAATGAAAAGTTGTTCATTTAAAGAAACCACTAAATTGTGTTGACTTCCTCCATCCTGAGCAGCACGGAGTCAGTTATAGAAGAGTGACTTCCTTTTAATAATCRGAAACCTCCAGCAGAATCTGGATCGGGACGGGTGGCCATCTTCCTCGACCTGCTGGGGTTTAGAAGATAGGAAAGAGACACAAACACAAAGTAATGGGTTAGGTGTAGTTTAATGGGAAGAAAAACAAAGAACAAAAGGAGTAATGCTGCTTTGTCTCGGTTCAGAGGTCGTAGCCCTGTAGACCGCGGCCCACAGAGGCCATACCTGTGCAGTCCAGGTAGGCTGCATAAAACGGCTTTTAAATGAAACGTCTAGTCTTCAGATAACTGCTTGCGTGACCACACACTACCCTGTTACTGTATTCACACACCTTTTTGTGGAAGGTATAACTTCACAAAATTCAATGTATTCAAAATGTTGCACGTAAATAAATAAAACTTGACGTTAGCTCTAGTAGCAGTACTTGTAATTGCATTTTATTTACAAAAATCTCATCAGATAATTTGCTAAACATACATTTAAAACAAATTCTTTGGTCCGTGATAAATTTCCAAACTCCACCATCTTAGTTTTCCTGTAGTTTGCTGATGTTGCAATGAGTCCTGCAATATCATCGGCCACATAGTATGCTCAGATGCAGCCTAAAATTTTGGG